ATTAAAGTGCCCCGTTGACACCCTGTCCTTCCTTTTTATTTCCTCTTAAGTAGCTTTAAGGTTTATCATCTTTTTTATATCATCTGATTTTAGTTCTTGATTGAAGTTATCTGATGTTGCATTGAGTGAAATACCTTTCTTTGAGTATTTGGGCTGTTGATCAAACAAAAAACAAAACTTGTCACACTTGGCTGTGGGAACTTATGGCCGTTTTATAAAAAGGTCGATGCATCGTTACTTGAGTTTGAAATGAAGGTTTAAACAGTGTTTGGTGGCAGATTTGGTTTTAAATTATCCTGGTCACAGCGGGTTTGTGAGCCATAATTGGTTAACCAAATTAGGGGGGGGGAAATGAGTGATTTATAGTATTTGGTGAACATAAAGACGTATTTGTTAGCAGAATAAAGTCAGAGCTGGTGTAGCCCGAAGCTCTGCCTAAATTAAAATATTTCAGTGTGTGTGGAAGTCCGGGAATGTGACTGATGTGTGTGTGAGTCATTTAAAGGAAGTTGGGAGTGAAAGGAAGACGCAACAGAGATACTCTCAGCAACCCCTGAATTCCCTTTGGTGTGACTCATTGTTCACTCAGCATAATATGGAGTACAGTCAAATGTGGTACAAATAGTGAAATTCCCACCGGATGAGTGATTTGAACAATTGAAGGACTCACTGGTGTGTCAGAATCAAATGTGGATGTGTGGATGACTGTGATCAAATGGAAGGGTCCTTCATGATATACTCTTACTTATACTCTCTACCTCATGATGCTGGTCCCCTTTGCAAAAGAAAAGCAAATTTTGTCTATAATGCGTTGAAGATTCCCTAAATGATCCTGGAACTTTATACTGCAAATATGAGGTCACTAGATCTGTAGCTCTTTTCTTTCCTCCCCCCTTCAGCTCCTCAGTTCTCTGGGAGCTTTTGGAGCCAGTAGTCGCCTAGTTGTTGCATTATAAAAGTCTAAACGCTTTTGGTACCAGGTGGCTTTCAGACGGTACTTGGTTACTGCTGTTATCACCCGTTTGGGAGCCTTCTGGATGGAATTCACACATTCCTCTGGGACAATGCCGAAGTGTGACAGACCTGATTGTGCTGGTATTTACCTGAGGATTTATCTGCATTCCTTCTACCCCCTCTACCCACACCTCCTCCAACAAAAGCTGAGCTAAACGTGTCTGCCTTGGCGTAATTGAGAGGGGCCTATTAACATTCAGATGGGGCATGCAGCTACTCAACAGCACCCCGGTCCAGGTTTCGCTTTAAATCATTTGCAATTGGTTGATTGTATAGTCTGATACACACACACACACACACACACACACACAAAAAGAAATAATTCAGATGTAAAAATCTTAAATCCCAGTAACTCCCTGAAACCCCCCTCTGGTTTTCCTCCGTCAACATTCCTGCACATGGACCAGTGACATGAGCCATGAGATGTGGGGGAGACAAGGGGGGAGTACAGGGGACCTGGGTGTGGTGGCTACTCGTCTGAAAGAGTTCAGTGAGAAACCCCCATTTGGGGACGGATTGGGTTCAAGCCCAGGGAAGAAGCGTAGTGTGGAAGCAACGTGCAATGTGCAATCGAAGGAGGCGAGTGGCCTGTGGTGGCTTTGGGGGAGAAAACACATGATGAGCTCCGGTCATCCCGCCTACCACAGTGAGGTCGGAGGGAAGGGGGGGGGGGGCATAGGGGGTTGCAGGAGGAGGAGGGGTGCTCATTCAGAACAGCTGAAGAAAGGAGGGGGAGGTGGGAGGAAGAGGGAGGCGGGGGTGGTCCTAACATGACATGTGTGTCAGCCTGTTGAAATGTGTGTGGATTCCTCTCCTCTGTTCATACTGGCTGAGAAGCGCTGCGAGAGAGAAGCAGGAACACACAGCTTCTGTCCCCAGACAGAGTTAAGTAGCGCAGACGGAGCAGATCTTATTCAATTAACCGAGTGTTTCGCCAAAGTGAAGGAAGGCACGAGAAGGGACCAATTTTAGAAATATATATATTTTTTAGATTTCTTCGTTTTTACAAAGATTTTGAAGGAAGACTTTTTGGACTTTTACCAATGCTTGGAACGATAACTTTAACGGGTAAGAAACCATTTTTTTTAAATGTGGTCTCATTAATTACATTATAAGTGTTCTTTAACTGTGCTAAAACAATGACTTCCATACGTTGATTTATTTTGTGAAAACTACAAATTTATTCAGGATGTGCCTGACACAAGAAACCGTTGGTTTCTCTTCACACCAGTGGGAATAGCTGAAGGTATTGTTGTGCTGAGGGTGTGGTTAGTTAGCATTGGGTTTGTGAATCTTCTGGCTCAGTGGGTGATGGTTTGGATTTGGCCACTGCAGAGCCTCCTCGTGTAGAAAGTCAAATCACGTTTTGATGCTGTAGTTTTCTGTTTTGATCAACTTTTGTTTCACACTGCAAGGAGCTTAACTTCAAAGGTGCATCATCAGATGGTGTTTCACCAATTGTGCAAATCGGCAGTAGTTTGTACAAGAAAACATCCCCTCACATTCACATTATCCCTGCAATAAAATCCTGTTTATCGACTATATATAACATCTCACATATTAATATAGATGCGCTGAACTATGAAGGATATGTCCTCCACCACCACCCAACCTTTGACGTGAGAATAACTCACACATGCACAGCTGCCCAAAATAAACATGTGAAGATGCCTTCATAGAAACATTTGGAAAGTCTGCGTTTAGCTCACATCCCGGTCTGAGCCAGCTGTCCCGTCATGTAAAGCATTTCATTAGAGAGTGGGGTCCTAATTCCCAGTGGGGTTATTCCGCAGCTTAGCCACAGAGCTCGAGGAGGGAGGAGAAGGGGTGGAGTATAAAATTAATTGCATGCCAAGACCAATTCTTCTTAAGTTCATAATTGGGAGTGATGGTTGAAATTAAGCAGAGCTGTAATGTTTTTCTTTGTGGTGACCTCAGGTTTTGGGTTTCTGCACAGAAAGCAATGATGCGTATCTGTGTTTACGGTTCAGACTTTTCCTTGATTAGAAAAATTGTGCTACAGTGGGTGTTGTTCGTGCTGATGGTGTGTGTGTGTGTGTGTGTGGGGGGGTCCTTCGGAGAGCCTTGGACCACCCCTTTTGATGCAGACAGGGAGTGCTTGTATGGTGTCTGTTGGGGGATGAGGGGGGGGGGGGGGAATAGTCCCCGTGCCCTCTTTTTAACTGACTTCTTTTGTTTAAAGGGCTTCTCCTCCAGACTGATAATTACAATCACGATTTACATATATTTGCCAAGTTTGCTAATAGTGTCCTGGAAGAATGGCTCCCATTCAGCTCCCCCCCCCCCCTACCCCCCCAGACAACACACAGACACATACTAGTGCTGAAACAGGATCTGATCTCACTGAAGGAGAGTTTAATTGTTTTTTTTGGAGGGGGGGTGGTATTTGATATGAGAGCATCACTTTACCAAATGCTCCGACTCGCACACAAACAAAGTATTTCAGCGAGGAATGTGTGTGTCAGACATATGTCACACCCTCTAAAGTGAGTACAGGCTTTTGGCCCCAAGGGCAGAGACCCTACCCCCCTTTAACGCCACCTCTTAACTGTCCCGTCCTCGCCCCCCGTAGCCTCGCCCCTCACACTCACATTCTTTCTGGTGGTCGCTATTCAAAACACTCAGCAAATTCTCCACCACACATTAACCTCCCCTAACCACAAACCAAATCATTGAGGGATGTTAACAGTTGTGTGACTGTAAAAAAAAAAAAAAAAAAAAAAAAAAAAGGAGATCAAAAAGACGGGAGAGATGCCAGTAGTCTGTTAAATCAACATGGTTCCCGTTTTATTATCCATGTAGATACACATGGCCTCGTCTGGCTTTCAAACAGTGGGAATCCTCCCACACACTCACACACACACACACACTTAATTCAAAAGGTCTTTGCTTTGCTACACCAGATCTTCATTGGCTTCAGTTTAGAGGAGCTGGTTTAAACATGGATTGCTGTTTTTGCATAATTGAGCTGAATCTGTTATTGTGTTCAGGTTTCATAGACACCCTTTTTTGGGGGGGGTTGTTGTTCTTCTGGTTTGGCCTTTTTGCTTAACAACTGTGAGATGGGACCCTGAGAATAACACCTATGTGAGAGACGGAGCCCACTGCCGTGTAGTTGTAGTTTGTAAATCACCCAGGCCTTTTAAATGTATATTAACACTATTTTGGTTAAGTCAGCGGACCTCTCCCAAGCTGCAGTGTGTCTTTATAATAGAAGAGTGGACCACCCCCCTTCCTTCATTTTCGGAGGCCAGGGAGGGTTAGAATGCTTTTGTTTGCTTGAGTGTGAGTGGGGGGTGCTCCATCCTGCTGTTGTGGAATTTGGGTCAAGGAGATTGGGACTTTTTTTTATTTTTTATTTTAAGGAGGGGGTGGTGGTAGTAGAGGCCTTTATTGTTTGGTTTGAATCGTAGATGGGCAAAGTCAAACCCAATGAAAATAATAGCATTCCTGTAAAGTAAATAAAGTCCCCTGTTATTTAAATTCTGATTGCGTTCAGGGCATCTTTAAATACATTTCCCAAACATAGCTAACATTCCACCTAGGTCAAATCTATGCATAAAATATAGGCGTGCCCTCACTAACAACATCGGGGTATGAAAACATGTGTTTATTATATTATACAAATTTTATCATACAAAAACACTCCTGTTTGCTAATTTCTAGATATTATATATATATATATATATACTTTTTAAATTTAAAGCTAAAATATTGTAGGAATGCAGTGCTTCCGAGTGAAGCATACCGGCTATAATTTAGGAAAAGGATGTGGACAGAGGTGGGCGGATAGAAAACATTTTCAAGAAGAGTCAAGAAAAAAAGAATTCATGTTTCTATGTAAAAACTGTATCCGATT